CCCCCGGCCGAGTGGCGCCATCCCCTGGTGGCAGCCTGTGGGCACTGCAGCTGCCACGTGAGACCACAGGCTTCAATCTGGGGTAAAAGGAGTTGAGACCGATGGGATGGGGGGATTCTAGAGTTGAAGAAGCCACTTAGAGGAAGATGAGGCAACCTGAAGGCCCCAGGAACCGAGGCAGAGGTGGGAGGCTGGTTGGAGACACACAGGAAAGGGGGTGCTGACTGGGCAACCCGGGGGCCTCCCTGTCCATTTCGCAGTTTGTCTTCTGCTCAGCTGCCGGGTTAAATAACAGCTAATGTTGATAGAAACTTACCACGTGCCAGGCGCTTCTGTAAGCCCTTAGCATGCATTAATTCACTGAATCCTCAATGCGCGTTATGTAGGTAGTACATCATCCCACCTTGACCCAAAAGGAAATCTGGCACAGAGAGGTTAAGAAACTTGCTCAAATTCACACAGCTAGTAAGTAGAAACCCCAGGGCAGCTGGCTCTGGGACACCTGTGTGACTCTGCCCCATCCTGCCTCTGAGGGCTGCCTTCAGAAGGTCACCAGAGACACATGTCTCAAATGCACTCAGCGAGTGTCCCCTGGGCTGAGCAGGGAGTAACCGAGGGGCGGCAGAGTGGACAGGAACCCTGGATGTGCAGAGGGAAGGTCTCAACCATCCATCAACGCTGCAGGGGTGTCGTGAGAATTCAGGATCAGATCTGAGGAGGGTCGTGCACACAGATTGTTAACTGTTTACACCCATTTTACTTTGCAGAGCCCCAGAGCTAGCTTTCTGGATCTATTTTTTTTTTTTTTTTAATGGAAGACTTGTGTCAACTCTGGCCTAGACTTGGTTCATGCTGGGCGTGCCAGTCTCTCTTGGGGGAGGACGGACACAGACTTGGCTCTGACCAAGGTAATTCCGTCAAACGCTGGAACCGCTGGTGAAGGTCTACTCTGGTCCCTCAGATGTTCCGTTTACCTCCCAGAGCCTCCACTGACTGGCATTGGCGCACCCACTTGACAGAAGAGGCAGCTGAGGTTCAGAGAGGGCAGATAACTCGCTACAGTCACGCGGCAAGGAATGGTGCGGCCAGGGTTCAGGAGGCCTCTCCAAGGATCTGCTGACCTCGCGGTCTCCTGAGCCTGGGTATTGGGCAGGGCGGACCCTCACCCACGAGGTGATCGGAGGTGACACCTTGAGGAATGAACAGATCTGATGGTGACAGCCAGGGCAGCACCCGTGCGCAGCCCTCGCAGAGAAACGGCAAACACACCTGATTGGTAAAATAGCTCTTTTGTAATTCACTTTGATTTGGCTCATTGGAAATATTCAACAATAAATAAAACAGAGCAGGGGCTGAGGAAGGCAGACTTGCAAACACCATTAGACCAGACCAAGGCTCTGCTGCAAACCTGCACAAGGCGAGGTGGGGAGGAAGAGGAGGCAGGACTGAAAATAGCAGCAACCGAACTGATGAGGCTGCAGGGGAGAGAAAGTGCTTGAGAACCTTTGGCTTTGCAGGGAGTTGGGTGAAGTGCTAAAGAGATCGTGCAGGAGGACAGGGGAGCCCAGGCTCCTCCTCACAGGGGTGAGGCAGGGGATCCTGAGCCAGGCTGGGCTGAAGGGACCTCCTGGCACAGAACCATTGGCAGTTCCGTACCACGACAGAGCTGAGTGGCAGGCCTGGGTTCAAGGTACAGACAAGGATCTGATGGGGGAGAGGAGCAGGTGGCCAGGCTCCCTGCATAGGAAATTCCAGACTCTTCTGTCAGTGAAGAGCTGCTAATGCCCTGACCCCAACAGACGGTCAGATGCCACTCTGCCGTCTCTACTGCCTCCTGCCAAAGCCCCCTCACATTCCACACGGTGGCAGGGAGCTCCTAGGTGCAGGTGCTCGTGTTTCCCTGACAGAGGAAAGCAGACTGTCTCCACGCCAGTCAGCACACTGCAGGGAGAGTGTGTGGCCTGGCGGCACTGGCCACATTAGCTGCCAGTCGGATGCCCATGATGGACAAGATGTCCCCAGGCTCCTCAGAGGGTGAGGGCTCTTGCTGGTTCCTGAGGGCAGCTGGCCGGTACCCAGCCACAGTTACCTGATGGCAGCCACGCAGGGGTGACCCTCCCAGAAAGCACTGTCGACCATAACCAGGCCAGGACAAAGTTCTGTTTCGTTTTCCATTTTACTTGGTTTTAGGCCACCAGGCCAACATCACAGGTCTATCTGTTCTCTGTGGTTCTCTTACACCTTTGACCCAGAGGCCCAGTGCACGAGGTAGGCTGGTCTCTGGTGGCCCCTTCTGGCCACAGCAGAGCCTGGGATTCCACCAAGGCCTCAGTGGGTTCTCTCCCCCTTCTTGTTTGGTTTTCCTATTTTATGTTTTTTTTTTTTTTTTTTTCGTTTCCCCTCCTG